GTCTCTTCCGTCAATTTCATTTTCCGAACAACTGGAATGTCTTTCTGAAACAATTATGTGAAATTACACATAGCAAGTTAAACCAGTTTTTGGCACCTAGCCACTACCCAGTAAAAGGTGGTGATTACGATTACCGTTCTAACTAGAACCAAATGTGCTCTTCGGAAAGGCTGCGTTAGGGAGCTGGTGCTTGGAGGCCAGAGGCTTCACTGCCTGCTGATATATTTCAGCTGTGATGACGATTAGTTAATTAACTTTGGGGTAGGACTTCAGGGACTGGTACCAGTAGTGGGAGTGACCACAGCCACCCCAGGACAGCAGAGTCCGTGTCTGGGGCAGGGAGAGTCACTGCAGGCTATAGATAGTTGACTGGGGCCTGAGCCTGAGCTGGGCTGGGCCAGGTGGTATCATGTGACCAGAGCCCGCTGCCCCTGCCCCTCCTCCCAGGCCGAGGGACGCAGACTCTTCAGAAGCTTCCTTTGAGCGGAGCCTCAAGGTGAGCGGACCTTCCGAAGGTTTCTTCTCTCTGTCCAGTTCTTTCTATAAGGGCACCCTTCAGCCCCCTCCCGTGTTTCACCTGCAGGTCTGGGGGAACTTGGGGTGGGAAGGCTGGATAGAGAGAGGCTTCTGAGAGGTGGTGGCAGCGGTAGGAATCAGTGAAGAGGGTGAGGATGGTTAACACAGCATTTTTTTTTTTTTATTCTGTAGAAGAGGGTTCCTGCCGGGGTGGGGGTGGCGTTGGGATCAGTGAGGATGGGATGAAAAGACTGGGTCCCCAGCCTCCTCCTCTGTGACTCCACCACACCCCCAGGCTGGATGACAGCTGAAAATACATCAGGCTTTTCTTACTCTGTCCCCAGGCTGGCCTGGGAGGGACGGGCACAGGTGGGTGATGTAATCTAGACTCCTACTGGCCTCACTCCCTGCCCTTAAATGGTGTCTCTGCCTTCCACAGTGAGGGTCCTGGGCTGTAGTTCAGGCAATGGTGGGGGCAGAATCCATGTCAGCTGGATGCTTACCCCCGCCCCCGACCCCCATCCTCACTGGGGCAGATGCTGAGGTGGAGGGACTGGGAAGCAGGCCTGAACGCCTCTCTCCTCACGGGACTGGGGGGTGCCACATGTGGGGCTTCCTCCGGGCCTGCTTGGTGGCAATTTCCCTTGCCTCTCTCTGGGTGCAGGAGAGGGGATTGTCAGGTTGCCAGTGTCCAATCCTAGGAGTGTCGCTTGTCTTGCTCTATGACCTTTTAGGTTTCCCTGCAGTGGGCCTTGGTTTTCTCCAGTGTGTAGAATGATATCCTGCAGCCCAGCCATTGAGGGCCTGCCCTGCTGGCCACGATGAGGAGGTAATTTGGACCGTCCTCCAAGTGGCTGAGAGCACAGGCTTTAGAGTCTGATTGCTTAGCTTCAGATCCTGTTCTGTTGCTTGCTAGCTGTGATCTTGGTAAATAACCTTTCCACCATGTACCTTGGTTTTCTCATTTGGAAAATGAGACCAATTAGAGGAACTAACTCAGCATCAGAACAGTGCATGGCATCTAGTAAGTGCTCACTCCGTTAATACTATGACCACGGCTTGTTGCTAGCATCTCTTCTGCTTTCATGAGAAGTCTCATTGGTTGAGATCTTACCTTTTCTTCCCTCTACCTCTAGGTGTGAATTTCCTTTGTTCAGTTGAGGAAGGTGAGGGAGGCCCCAGGAAGGGGGTGGTATGTAGTATCTCCAAGGCTATACAACTGGTGAGTATTGGAGTCTGGACTAGGACCCAAGACTGATTTCAGGTGATCAGTTGCCTCTGGAGTCAAGGCAGGGCTGGGACGTGAGTTCCCCTGGGATCCAGCAGTGCCTAGGATACTTGTTTCTCTGCCGGGGGGAAGGCTCCAGCTGAGGGTTAAGGCCATAGACTCAGGAACAAGCACTTGGAAAGCAAAGCTTCTTTTCTTCTCTAGTGTGAAATCCTAGAGGAGATGGGTGTGTGAACTCTCCGTTCGTTAAACAAACGTCAGCCGTGTTGCTAGGTCCTGAGCTAGACTCTGGGATCACTGCTATGAAAGCACCCTGGTACTTGCTCTTAAGGGGTGGGGTGGGCTGCATGGTGGATAAGTAACCGGGCACCTAACACAACGCAGTGAGAGCGCAGAGCCAGGGCACTTCGCCTAGGATCTGGTTGGACTCCTCCGAGGGGGTTGACCTAATGGCCAGGTATATGGCAGCAGGTGGGTATGAACTCCAGTAATGTAGCCCCTAAGCCCCTACAAATTACCTTGTTCCCCAAGGTAGAAGTTCTTTGCAATCAGGGTAAATTCAGTCTTTTTAGATACTTGACTCATCTCTAGGAGATGATGCCAGCCCCACGATAAATATTTGGCCTTCGCCTATTCTCCTGGCACTAAGGCCTGAAATCTAGTAGTTCCCTCTGGCCAGCCCCATCCTGCAAGGCCTTCTCCCATCTTACCCGGCCCCATCTCACTTCACCTACACTCATCCCTGTTTCATTTCCAGCTTTTCCTCTCCTCTTACCAGTTCTTTTTACCACAACCCGATGAGTTTGACTCACCCACGTGCTTTCTCCCCCTAAACCTCCCCTAGTTTCCCGCTCCTTAGACCTCCTAGATCTGGCCCTTCTAGGCAGCTTTTTTTCCAAAAGATAAGCTTTAGGATCTTTCTGGAACAAGCAGTATAGAAAATATAGTTGACCTTTGAGCAACACAGGTTTGAACTGTGTGGGTCCACTTATATGTGGTTTTTTTCAACAGTAAAAGCACCACATGATGTGTGATTGGATTTTTCGACTATGTCGGGGGTGGGTGCCCCTAACCCCCGTGTTGTCACGTTCCCCTGGTCAGCTTGGGATTGTGGGGGAGTAGGGAATCAGTGGGCTCTTTCAGTGGCAGTTTAGCGCTCCCATTAATTGGAGACTGAACTTTTAGTACTTTACCATGTCCCTTTGTGATCTTGGTGAACAGAATGTCAGGCAGGGTGATTACAGGATCTGATGCCTCGCAATTTTGAAAGAGTTTTTATTAGAGGAAATAGACAGTGACCTGAAAAACTTTGCCTTAAACCTTTTCCAGTAGTTTTCAGGAACACCTGGCCCTCTGACTGATCCTCTTTTCCAACTTTGTGTTGATGAAGTTGATGTTGCAGGCCTTTGGGCATGCTCTCATTCTGGTAGCATGCAGGCGGTGCTGTTGGGGTGTGGAGGCTGGGTCCCTGCAGAAGTGACTGCTGTCACAGCTCGTGTGTAGCTGAGGGAGGTGATCTTCTCGTGGCTGCCCCTGCTGGTCCTAGTCAGGGAACTAGGTGGTATTAGCCTTCTCTGGGCCAAACCAGAATTAGCAAGAAAATCAGTGTGGAGTAAGTAGTTCTCTGGGCCTAAGGGCTTCATCCTCTTGGGACTGAGAGGGCTTTTCTCGTTCTCCACTGCTCAGCACTGGGAATGGGGGATGCTGTGGATTGGGTTACAGAGCCCCAGCCCTCCTGTGGCATATGGGGTGTCTCGAGGGGCAGTGGCTCCGGTATGGGGTAGAAGCCAAGAATGCAGTGGCCTTACAGTTAGGAGTCAGGAAAGGACTCTCTCTGCTCGTTAAGGGTACACGCGTCTGATCAAGGCATAGAACGTTCCTTCTGAGACCAGCTGGACAAATTTCTCTGCTCAGGGACTGGGGGCAGCTCCTGACCCCTGGCATGGCTGGCCAACAATGGAGGCAAAGTGACGGGCGAGCAGTGGGTGAGCAGAGCCCCAGGATGTGTATCTTTTCCCATGGATCTCTGGGGGAGGAAGGGTTCAGAAACTCTTGGTCTTCAGAGCCAAGTTGGAAAAATAAGGGTAGGTGTAGGAAGGGTCAGACCTATTAGAGCCACTGCCTTAAAAAAAATTTTTTTTTTTTTTTTCTTTTTAAAAAGCCCCTGGACTTCTCTGGCAGTCCAGTGGTTAAGACTCCGCACTTCCACTATAGGCGGTGTGGGTTTGATCCCTGGCTGGTGAACTAAGATCCTACAGCTATGCAGTGCAGCCAAAAAAATAAAAAAATAAAAATCCCGGTCTGCCCTTGTTGAAACTACTGGAGAACCCCAAACAAAATTAAGTCACTGTAAACATACTACTTAACTCCTGGTAATACTCGGTTATATCTCCTTCTAGAGTTTCTACTGTGTGTATGTGTACGTATACGTTTTTTATTTACTTTACAAAATTAGGGTTATAACTTTTCTCATTTATTGTGTTTATCTTTTCATATCAGTAGAGATCGTTATCTTTTTATGACCATTCTAAAAGTTGTTGAACTTTTATTTAGCCAGTTCCCTGCTATTGGACATGTATTGTTTTCAGTTTTTTTGAAATTATGAATAGCCCTTTCAGCATCTTTGCACATAACCCTAAACACTTGTCTAATTTGTATCATTAGGATAAATCCCTAAAGGTGGAACCATTGAGTCAAATGGGGGTCTCACTTTTTCTTTAGAAACTTGGAAGGCAGGCACATCTTCTCTGAATGGCTCACTCTTCTGTTGACCACAGGTCACTGAGGACAGGGCTGGCCCTGACATGTGGGGCTTAGAAGAGGTCCTTGGATTGCCCACTTAGGGTTTGTATCTTGCCTTCCTAAGTCTGCTCACACACAGACTTCTAGAATGTTAGAGCCAGAGAGGGTCTTTCAGATCCCTTTATGGAATCTGGGTCGATTCGGGAGCCCTGAATTACAGAGCAAACCCTGGCATGGACTCAGTTCCCTTTTTCACAAGAGGGTATAGAGCGGTGAGGGTCCTCCGAGTTGAGTTCTCGGGGTTTCGGCTGCTTGCTGCTTCCATGATCGCACTTGCCATGATTTCTTCAGAAAGAGGTGTTTGAGCATGTGTCCTTCCCGTCCCCACCGCGTCTTCCTCCTTTGGGAGCCTGCAGGTTGTTTGGTGGAGTGGGGTAGTGATGAGACTGAGGAGGTGGTTGTGGGCCCCTCCCATGGGCTCTGCGTAACTCTCCCTCCCTTCTTGTTCCCACAGAACATGCTGCTCCGGCCAGGGTGGTGAGGGCAGCAGTTCCTAAACAGCGCAAAGGTAGCAAGGTAAGAAGTAGGAGTTGGCAACCCAAGCAGGGACTTCCTGGAGGTGGGAGCCTCTTTTCTGTTGTAGTGAGTGCTTCTGGACTGCGAGGTACTTCTGGGTTCTCTCTGAAGAGGAGGGGCACTTTTTCTGGGTCTCTACATTGTGGATGGTCCTCGTGGACAGACTGATTTTGGCCTCTGATCTCTCAGTGGAGCTGTATTTTGGATGAGGGCCTGAATGGTCGAGGCAGGGTTACCCCTCATAGAATGTGCCTTGCAGGTTGGTGACTTTGGAGATGCAATCAACTGGCCAACACCTGGAGAGATAGCCCACAAGAGTGTGCAGGTGAGTCTGTGGGAGGGATGGGCAGGTTTGAATTCTGTCTACATGTTCACATTTGGCCTCAAGCTTTCAGAGCCTCAGCTGTTACCTTTCTGTTTTTTTAAGAGGAGTGGTTGGTACCATATGGGCAACATTGAAATAGCTAAGAATCATTCTTTGCGCCCTTGCTGTGTGTCAGGGACTGCCAAGTGCTGTTTTTTCATCATTTCATCTAACCCTCAGTGACTTCTAGATAGGTCCTTCAGTAATTCCCATTTTACAGATGAGGCCACTGAGGCTGGGGACGGTTAATTACTAGCCCTTAATGGCCAAGTGGGGATTAGAAGTCAGGTGTGTTGTATTGTTTCAAAGCCTGTGATCTCCATCACTACACTTGGATTGCCTGTAGGTGATCATTAGGCCAGGTACCCGCCTCCACACCACAGGTCATGGGGAAGCTTATGTAGCTTTCCTGAGCCCTAGCAGAAGATGGACTCCTGGTCCATCCTCTCCTTCCCAGCACTTTCGTTCTGGGCTGACAGCTAGGTCCCTCACTGGCTCTGGCCACACTGGCCTTTAGTTCACAGCAGGGTTGGTGTGGACAGACCAGGGGCCAGCATCTCCTCCGTCCCACAGGTGACCTGAACTATGTGATCCTGTTGTAGGGAGTAAAACAATTGCCCGTTGCAGGCCGCAGCCCCGGCCCTGGGGATTGTCTCTGTCATTTAGACTTAAGGAAGCTGGAGAGACAGGTTGTCCTCTACCTCCTGCCTGTTTGACAACTCTTGCCAGCGAAAGCATCTCAGGTGTGAAAGTAGGACCTTAGAATACATGCAGCCCAACCTGCCGTCACATGCTCCAGCTCCTCAACCCCGTTCTTCCAGTGACAGGGAGCTCCCTTCTTTCCCATCCCAAGAGGCTCTCAGACTCACATCACCTCCCTGTTCCTCTACTTCCCGCTGCAGCCACAGTCCCACAAGTCTCAGCCTGCCCGCAAGCTGCCACCCAAAAAAGACATGAAGGAACAGGAGAAAGGAGAGGGGAGTGATAGTAAGGAGAGCCCGAAAACCAAATCAGATGAATCGGGGGAGGAGAAGAACGGGGATGAGGACTACCAGCGAGGCGGGCAGAAGAAGAAAGGTGAGTGGCTTGGATCAGGACTCGGGAGAAGGTGGTAGGGCAGAACCAAGAAATGTCGGAACGCCAGGGCTGCTGGAGCAACCTCAGGAGCCCCCGCAAGATGTCCTTGGGAGGCTGATGGGTGTAGGCCACTGGGTCAGCAAGCTTCACTCCAACTATCTGTCCATCAGTTCCTTTTCTTTAACAAGCATTTGGTAAGCCCTGTCCTCAGCACTGGGGCTCTAGCAGTGCAGAAGATGGGGGCGGGGTCTCTGCCTCAGAGTGTTCTTTGTGTGTCTTGATGTATTGCTGTCCCGTGTTAGATTTCATTTAAAAGGCAGGAGTTCCCATTGCTCTGGCTGAACTGGCTAGAGTACAGGTTTGGCTGCTCTCATACATATCCAGAGGAACAGGGGGTCTGACCAGGATGGAAGGTTATTTCTCTCACCTGAGAGCTGGGTGGAAGTAGGCCAGGTGCAGCTCTTTGATTCCTTTGTCTTGCTGTGTGTTGGCTCTTCTCATTCCAGATGACTCACTCCACCTAGCAGGATGGGGAAAGGGGGGAGTAGCTCCCTGCCTTTTAGGGACTCACCCTGGAATTGACTGCTTCCACTCAGTTCCCCTGGGTAGAATTTCGGCACGTGTCTAAGGGAGCCTGAAGGTGCAGTCTTGATTCTGGGCTGCCATGTGTCTGGTTCCAGAGGGGGTTCTCTTGACGGTGGAGAAGTTGATATTAGGAGTCAACCGAGAGTGTCCATCACAGTGAAGTCCACCACCTTCTTATTTTAGAGATGAAAATGAGGTCCAGTGAGGGAAAGGAATCTGCCCAAGGTCACCAGATGGTGATTCAGGCCTGAGACCCCAGACGGGGACAGAAGTGTTGGGGGTAGGGATGGCCAGGAGGGACCTCTCCTTCAAGCCTTTCTTGTACCCATGCTGTCCTCCAGGGAACAAACACAAGTGGGTTCCGTTGCAAATAGACATGAAGCCTGAAGTGCCCAGAGAGAAACTGGTCTCTCGCCCTACTCGCCCGCCAGAGCCACGACACACACCTGCCAACCGCGGGGAGATCAAAGGTATGCACCTCCCACTACGGAGGGCCTGGGCATGGGGCTCCTCCTCAGGCCTGACCCGGCGCCCCCTCTCCCCATAGGGTCTGAGCCTGCCACCTACGTGCCCGTGCCCGTGGCCCCCCCCACCCCAGCCTGGCAACCAGAGACCAAATCGGAGCCTGCCTGGCACGACCAGGATGAGACATCGAGTGTGAAGAGTGATGGGGCTGGTGGGGCGCGGGCTTCCTTCCGTGGCCGTGGACGGGGGCGTGGTCGCGGCCGGGGACGCGGCCGGGGTGGCACTCGAAGTACGTGAGGCCCCTTTGGGCTCTGGGATGTCCGAGGGAGTGCGGTGGGGGGCGGGCAGGGATATCCTCTCCCTCATGACACCCGTTTCCCCCTTAGCCCATTTTGACTACCAGTTCGGCTACCGAAAGTTTGACGGTGCAGAGGGGCCGCGCACCCCCAAGTACATGAACAACATCACCTACTACTTTGACAATGTCAGCAGCACTGAGCTTTACAGCGTGGACCAGGAGCTGCTTAAAGACTACATCAAACGCCAGATGTAAGTGGACAGGCGCCTTCCTCCTGGAGACATGGGTAGGATTGGGGGCTGCCCGAGGATGGTAGCCTGGTAGAGTAGGGCTGTGCAGGCCCTTCTGGTGCTAGCAGCAGTTGCTGCCTCTGGCTGGACCTGAAAAAGGTAACTTGAGAGAACTGTACTACCATTATAAAAATTAATTAGTTAATTTTTTTAAAAGGAGAGAAAATGTCTAGATTCTGCTCCACTTTATCCCTTTATTTGTAATGGCAGCATTGAGAACGCTAGCATTATTGGTGAGGCTCAGTGCTCCGTGCCTTATAGGCATTCTCTTATTTAGTCCTGTGGTTGTCTATTTAATTTTTATGAGCTGGGTTTTATCCCCTTTTTATTGATGAGCATACAGGCCCAGTCACTTGCCTAACTGGTAAGTGACAAGGCACAGATTTGAGTCTATTTCTGTCTAATTTGCAAAACCTTAACTCCTAACCTCTCTAATATGTTGTTTCTCAGTCCAGTGGGGGAACCATACAAGGAAGTAGATCATTGCAGAAGAGTGTGATAAGTGGCTCAGGAACAGAAGAGAAAGTGACCAACAGTATTGGGACTGGGTTTTAAAGGAGGATGAGGAGCTTGTCAGGCATACAAAGAGGCTGAAGGGCAGAGAGAAGTTTGACCCAAGGTTAGGGAGCCATGAAAGGATAACATCATCTCTTTTCAGCCTTTAGGACCTTAAGTACAGTAGGGACAGGGTTGGTCAGAGGCTATGTGAGCTTCCTGGAGTGTACAGAACAAGGAAGGCATATTCACAAATGATGAAGCAATCATACTTCTTCTCCCCTCCACCTAGTGAATACTACTTCAGCGTGGACAATTTAGAGCGAGACTTCTTCCTGCGACGGAAAATGGATGCTGACGGTTTCCTTCCCATCACACTTATTGCGTCCTTCCACCGAGTACAGGCCCTTACCACTGACATTTCACTCATTTTTGCGGTATGTCTCTCTCCCTGGGGCTGGGGTGCAGAGGAAAGAAAGGTCCTTACTTAAGGAGCTGGAATTTGGGCCAAGGCAGAAAACCCTGGAAGAGTCCTCATCTCATTACTTACGCTAAGATTCCAAGGCTTGGCCAGCCTCTCTCTCCCTCCCCGTCCCCTCCCCCTCCCCCTCCCCCTTCTCTCTCTCTCTCTCTCTCTCTCCCCCCCCTCCCCCCACCCATCCCTTTATTATGGAAAATTTACAAAAGTAGACACAATGGTATAATGAGCCCATTACCCAGCCTCAGCATCTGTCAGCTCACGGCGAGTCTTGTTCCATCTGTCTCCTCATGTTCCCTTTCCCAGATTACTTTGAAGGAACTCTCCGGTAATCTGACATTTCATCCATGTTTCAGTATCTGTGTCTGAAAGATAAAGGCCTGTTAAAAAAAAATAATCAGTATATGATTATTGCATGTAAAAATATTAACAGTTTTTTAATATCACCAAATATCTCATCAGTTGCAAATTCACCCCACTTGTCAAAAATGTTTTCGTAGTTTATGAGAATCAGGATCCAGATAAGACCAATATTATTGTCATATTAAGTCTCCTCCTCTCCCTCTCTTTTTCCTTGCAGTTTATTTTTTGCATATGCTAGATTGTATATCTTGTAGAATTTTCCATAGGACAGAGTGGTATCATTTCACATGTTCTTCTGTACTCCAGATTTTTTTGTAAATTGGTTCTTGAGAAGCCTGATGAGATTCAGGTTTTGGTTGATTGTTTGTTTTTTTCCCTCCTCGTCAAGAATACTTTATAGATAGTGATATATTCTCTCAGATGTCACTTAATGCTTCACTTGGTGCTCTTTTTTGCCATAAAAACTGCAAATCACTGCCTGTTACTTCATTAGGGACTACAAAATGTTTATATTCTGTCAATCTGTCTTTATTTGTTAGCTGGAATACCTCTTTAAGGAGGTACTTTGCATTATCAACTATTTGGTTACCAAGAAGTATATACTTCGTACAGGAAGGGCAGATAAGTGCTTGATCTTTTCCTTTGTTAACCAGTTTTCAGAATTATGAGCTGATCCCTAATAACCTTCAAAGGTGAACAGTGCGTTTTGAGTTTGTTTTTTTTGTGTTAGTATCATTTAATATCATTACAAACTTGTAGGTTCAAACATTTTGTTTATTTCAAAATTATTGTAGTTATTATGCTGAATCAAATTGTTGTGTCTTTGGCCAGTGGGACCCTGGTTCATCTTGTACATTTCCTGTCCCAGATCTGAACTTGGCCGTTTTTTTTAAGGAACTCTGGGTCCTCTATTTTGGGGAAGTGGTGTTTTTGGTATTTAGATAACACAGTTTGAGTTGTAGCGGTGTTTATTGCTACTTGATTGGTCGATGTTTCTAGAGCTTTTTGTTTGTTTGTTTTAATAAAATACATCATGAGATTGTACTGATAATTTCTATTAAAATTTCTATAGGGTCTATACACATAACCCCAAGTATCTTTAATCTGTAACTACTACTTTCTCCCATGCCAAAAATCCTAATTCCTAACAACATCAACATAACTATTCATTTGTTTTACTCTACAGTTTATACACATTATACTTATAGTACCTCTCCTACTCCTAAAAAGTTTTTTTTCCTATTTATACAGTCAGTGACTATTTTCAACTTGAAATAATTTTTTTGTGGTTGTTTCTTTAACTTAATATATATTAGTTTCATTAGCTTCGCTTTGCTTTCACGTTTTGGGGATTGCTTTCTTACGTCTTCATGTTTGTTTTACATTTATAGAAAACATTTATGTGGTTCCAAAGTCAGATGGTATGTTCATAGAAGCCCGACTTAAAATTTTCTTATTTACACCTTTTTCCCTTTCTTTTACTATAAGCAACCTTTCTTGAATCTTTCTATTAAAAAAATGAAGTAAATGCCTCTGTGGGTATTATATACTTCCCCTTTCTTAGATGAACGGTAACATATAGCACATGTATTTCTTCACGCTTTTTTTGCTTTCTCTTAATATATCTGGGAGCTGACCGTGTAGTAGTAGTAGAAGAAAGGTACTCTCATTCTTATTTACAGGTGCATATATATATAATCTTTTCATGTTTTAGCCCGTGTCTTTGGTGTAGATTTCTAGAAGTGGGATGGTTGAACTGAAAGGCAAATGCATATGTAATTTTGCTAGCTGTTACCTGATTCCCTTTCTAGTGGGTGTGCCTTTTGCATTCTCACCAGCAGTATATGAGAGTGCCTCTTCCTCAGCCTCACCAACACAGTATGTTGTCACGTGTTAAAATGTTTTCCTCTTCCATTTTAAAGATTTTTATTTTTTTTAATTTTTAATAAATTCATTTATTTTATTTTATTTATTTTTGACTGCATTGGGTCTTTGTTGCTGTGCGCGCGGGCTTTCTCTAGTCGCGGTGAGCGGGGGCTACTCTTAGTTGCGGTGCGCGGGCTTCTCGTTGCGGTGGCTTCTCTTGTTGCGGAGCACAGGCTGTAGGCGCACAGGCTTCAGTAGTGGCTCGCGGGCTCTAGAGCGCAGGCTCAGTCGTTGTGGCGCACGGGCTTAGCTGCTCTGTGGTATGTGGGATCTACCCGGACCAGGGCTGGAACCTGTGTTCCCTGCTCTGGCAGGCAGATTCTTAACCACTGCACCACCAGGGAAGCCCCTAAAAGAGTTTTAAAAGGAAACTCTTCTCCCCGCTCCATTTTTCACCCTTTTTCCCAGAGATAAACACCTGTAGCACTTTACCTGTGAATCCTAGAAAAATTTGTGTGCATTTGTATGTTTTTACTTAAAAATTCAAACACCAAAAAATTCAAACACCAATGGGATCTTTTTGGGTTTTTTTAAGTCTTTATTTAATTTGTTACAATACTGCTTCTGCTTTATGTTTTGGTTTTTTGTCCTCAAGGCATTTGGGATCTTAGCTCCCCCACCAGGGATCAAACCCTCACCCCCTGCATTGGAAGTCAAAGTCTTTTTTTCGTTTTAATTAATTAATTTGGTGGCGCTGGGTCTTAGTTGCGACAGGCAGGCTCCTTAGTTGAGGCAGATGGGCTCCTTGGTTGTGGCATGTGAACTCTTTAAGTTGCAACATGCATGTGGGATCTAGTTCCCCGACGAGGGATTGAACCTGGGCACCCTGCTTTGGGAGTGTGGAGTCTTACCCACTGCGCCACCAGGGAAGTCCCTGGAAGGTGAAGTCTTAACCACTGGACTGCCAGGGAAGTCCCCCAATGGGATCTTAAACTCACTGACCTACACCTGCTTTTTTGTGACTCTTACCACCTCAGCACATTTGAAGCTGATTTTAAAGCCTGAATAGTGTTCCATTGAATGGATGTGCCATAATTGGTTTAAATTGCTTATGTGGTGGCAAGCATAGGTAGTTTCCAGTTTTTTCCTTTTACAGACAGTGTTGCTGTGAATGGCCTTGTATCCAGATCTTATGTTGTCACCTGTTTGTGCAAGTATTTCTCTGGGGCTGATTCCTGGAAGTAGAATGGCAGGGTCAAAGGGCAGGTGTGTTTTTCATGTTGGTACCCTCCTACAAGTTTGAACATCTCACCCGTCCGCTGGTCATGGAAGATGGTACCAGTTTTCTTATACTCCTGCCAGCACTGGACTTACCCCTGAGCTCATGGGGCTCAGTCATCTACCAGCTTCCAAGATCTCAGTCCGTCCATGTCTTTCCTCTGCATCTTCTCCCTCTTTCTCCCCTGCAGGCCCTAAAGGACAGCAAGGTGGTGGAGATCGTTGATGAAAAAGTCCGCCGAAGGGAGGAGCCAGAGAAATGGCCTCTTCCTGGTCCCCCAATAGTGGATTATTCCCAGACTGATTTCTCCCAGCTTCTCAACTGCCCAGAGTTTGTGCCCCGCCAGCACTATCAGAAGGAGACAGGTAGGTACCCTGCTGGCATGTGGATGCCTCCCTGTTGCCCTTGTCCTCTGGCCATCAGGAGGAGGGCTGGAGGGATGAGGATCTCCCCTTTCCACCCTTTAGAGTCGGCGCCTGGCTCTCCCCGTGCTGTCACACCAGTGCCAACTAAAACAGAGGAGGTCAGCAACCTAAAGACCCTGCCCAAGGGCCTGTCTGCCAGCCTCCCTGACCTGGATTCTGAGAACTGGATTGAAGTGAAGAAAAGACCTCGGCCCTCCCCAGCACGACCCAAGGTGAGTGAGGCCTGCCACGCACCTGAGTTCTAGGGTCCTGGCCTGGAGTGTGGGGAGGGGTGTTGCAAAGGCACAGAGCTCTGGGCTTGTAGAGGCTGGCAGGCAAGCTGGGTGGCTCAGGGTTGTAATGCGAGCTGGAGGTCACCAGTGACCGCAGGAAGGCTGATATGGCCTGTTTCCATTTCCAGTGGGGATCACCCCTCAGGACAACCTTAGCTCCGTGAGATCCTGAATGGCATTTTTCACAGGAGGAGATGATGCAGCCTCTGGCAGCAGTGTCTCATTAAGTATTAAGTGTTTCTTAACACATGCCTGTTCTTTTTGGTTTTGGCCACTCCATGTGGCATGCGGGATCTTAGTTCCCCGACCAGGGATCGAACACATGCTCCCTGCAGTGGCAAAGCGGAGTCTTAACCACTGGGCTGCCAGGGAAGTCCCTTGGCTGTTCTTTTGACCCCATCTAAATCCCTGGGGCTGCATTTTTAGTGCCTTCCCCCTGAATTTGTCCTCACTGTCCCATATATAAGCCCCTCAGACCTTCTGAAGAGGGAAGGGATGGGGAGCAGACACACAGTCTGGACAGAGTCTAGACTAGAACACAGGTCTCCTGTCATTGCTGGCTGCTGACCTTGGGAAGCTTCGTTAATATCTCAAGGCTTCATTTTCTCCGTTTTCGGATGGAAGTAAGGAGGGATTAGACTGCTTTAGAAATAGTAAAGCAATATATAAATAGCTCACATTTAGTCCCCTGTTAGAGAAGTGTTTCAATCTCAAACTAAAATTACTGCCCCTTTTTCAGGAGCAGACTTTTGCTCCATTCACCTGCCCATTGCCATCCCTTCTTTGGAGACCTTCTTGGTCTGGGGCTTGTGAGGAGGCCTCAGAGGTGACCTTGGACTTTGGGTTTATGGAATTCTGTGCTCCCTTTTCCATTGTGACCACCCCCCTCAACTCCTTCTTCCTCCCTTCCTGTTTATACCCCGACTTCCTAGCCTGTTCTGGCTGCGGTCTTCCAGAAAGTGTCAGAGGTTAGGCTGGAGTCATGAGGAGAGGGTAGGGTAGTAAGTGCACAAGGACCTGACAGAGTTCAGTTCAGTGCTGCAGACTGCAAAGGCTTTGGAAAGGTGGACCCGTGCTTAGCCCCCATTCCAGAATTCGAGCCCCCACTCCCACCTGACCTATCGTGAACCTTCCAAAAGAGAATAGGGTTAGAGTTTATACAGAAAGCGCTTTGCACAGCAGGGAATTGACGTTTAGATATATACTATGGGGTAGACAGATGCTTTACTTCCAAAATTTCAGATAAATTCAGCCTATCAGCACTCTGGAATACTTTGTTTTGGCTGAAAACAGTCTTGTTTTCTCTTGCCTTTGGGACATGCTGTGTTTTTGTTTGTTTTCTTTTTGCCTCTCACTGTCTCTGTCCCTGCCTTCATCTGGCTTACTTATGCGCGTCCTTTCATAGTCACTTCTTCTGGGAAGCCTTCCCCGACTGTCCCCACTCCCACCCCCAGCTGGTTAAGTGCTACTCCCTATGTGCTCCACGAGGCCTATTTATAGTCCTCACCATAACACACTGCAGTTGGTTGGTTGGTTGACTTCTTCTCCCACTAAACTGAGAGCTCCATAAATTCAAGGACCTGGTCTTGTTCTTTTTCTGCTTTTAGCGTCTTCATACAGGGCCTGGTACCAGTGGGTACTTGCCCATTTATCAAGTAGTTGAACATGTGCTGTTGCTAGATCCCAGTCTAAGTACTGGATAGGATGGAAGGCAAGGCAGCTGTGGTTCGTGCCTGATGAAGCTTCCAGTTTATTGGGAGGTGTTGGGGATGGACAAATGGATGAATCAGCCTGTTGAACTTGTACCCACTCTCAGGCCAGGTGCTGTGGAGGTAAATGAGAGTGCAGTTCCTACGTGCAGGGAAGTTGTTATCTCAGTGTTTATCAGTGACTGTGATGTGAGCTGTGAGCGGAGAAGCCTGGACTCGTACGGGACATCCTTTTTCCATGAGGCTGACTCCGAGGCTGACAGCTGTGACTTGCTGGCATTATCAGGGCCGCAGTTGTAACAGTCCCATGTTGAGGGGTCAGGGCTTCTCCCAGGGCACAGCGACAGGGCCTGGTATAAGGTGATTCCCTGGTGATTCCCTTTCTCCTTGGTCTGCCCCCATGTTAGAAGTCAGAGGAGCCCCGGTTCCTCCACCCGACTACTCTGCCTCAGCAGCAGCCCTCTCAGCAGCTGATGTCCAAGGATCAAGACGAGCAAGAGGAACTGGATTTCCTGTTTGACGAGGAAATGGAGCAGATGGATGGGCGGAAGAACACCTTTACCGCCTGGTCTGATGAGGACTCTGACTATGAGATTGATGACCGGGATGTCAACAAGATCCTCATTGTCACCCAGACGCCACCTTACATGCGCCGGCACCCGGGGGGGGACCGCACAGGCAACCACACCTCGCGTGCCAAGATGAGCGCTGAGCTGGCCAAGGTCATTAACGATGGTCTCTTCTACTACGAGCAGGACCTGTGGACTGAGAAGTTTGAACCCGAGTATTCCCAGATCAAGGTGAGTCTTGGGCCTAGCAGTGGTGGTGGGGCCTGGGGTGCCTGTAACGTGTGGAAGGGGAAGGCTGACGAGCCGTGTGACCTTGGGCACAGAGCCTCAGCATCCTCCTCTAACAAAAGGGGGTGATGCTCGACATGAACGGTGGACTGTGCCAGTGTAAGAGCTGGTCACTCTGCTTCTTGAGCGTCCGTGTTTAATGTCTTAAGTTGGCTAGCCACTTTGGTGAGGAATAGGATAAGACTTGGATCGTCATTTCTGTTAGGCATATATAAAAGTTTAAAAGCCTTTTGAGGAACTTGCTTTGAGGGTGAAATGTGGAGGAAAGATAGGTCTTTTAAAAAATCACTGCTACCTGGGAACAGTCAAAACTGGTATAGTAGGTGTTTACAGAGTGGGTATGTGTGGGGGTCGGTTGGCCTTTGGTGAGCCTCTGTTGTGAGTAGTAGTGTGTTTGGTGGAGATGAGAGAATTGCCCGAAGAGAATCGGGGTGGGGGAGTCTACAGCACGTTCCTGGGGAACCGGAGTCCTGACCTCAGTGCTGCTGCAGAGAGGGCTGGGCAAGTACTCCCCCATTCTGGGTTAGCACACCCATGCCTGGGTACCTGGCGTTGAGGCATAGTGACAGGGCAGCTGAGAGCCTGGGGACCAGAATTCCATGTATGTGGTCGCAGGAGCTGCCCTCTTCAGCTTCTTGCATGTCTTGATTCCTAAACAGGCTAGGGCAGTCTTCTTACCAGCATCCCTCCCCCGCTGCCCCACCCCAATCTCGTATCCTCTGCAGCAAGAAGTCGAGAACTTCAAGAAAGTCAACATGATCAGTCGGGAGCAGTTTGATACACTAACCCCTGAGCCCCCTGTGGATCCCAACCAAGAGGTCCCTCCTGGACCACCTCGCTTCCAGCAAGGTGAGAGGTGACACCTGCCACCCTGGCCTGGGTGGGAGGGTCTGGAGCCGTCCGACGGGGCCTTACAGGGACAGGCATTCACAGGCCTACCTCTGCTTACTGTCCCCACTCTGCCTCTGCAGTTCCCACTGACGCCCTGGCCAACAAGCTGTTTGGTGCCCCCGAGCCCTCCACCATTGCCCGCTCTCTACCAACCACTGTCCCAGAGTCGCCAAACTATCGCAACGCCAGGACCCCTCGCACTCCCCGGACACCGCAGCTCAAAGACTCAAGCCAGACGTCACGGTTTTATCCAGTGGTGAAGGAAGGTCGGACGCTAGATGCTAAGGTGAGGCGTTCCTGCTGAGCTGCTAAGAGTCTTGGGCTCACTTCACTGCATTCCAGGGCTCTGCTTCTCTCTCTTGCCTTGAGCCAAGAAAGTGGCACGTCCCCCACCTGCTCCGTATTCTTAGGCTGGTGGGCCCACCAGGATTGAGTGACACATCTGCAAGATGGACTGGGCGTGGGAGTGGTGGCCGCATGTAGCCATGGTAAGGCCTAAGGAGGACTGACCAGGTGTGGGTCCTTGAGCAGATCATGTCACCAGCAAGCCTCGATCTCCTCATCTGTGAAGTAGGCGTGTCAGCTCCTAGCTTACAGCTGTGGACATCATGTGACAATAGACATGAAAATGCTTTATAAATTGTGAGATAACTCACACCTAGGAGGGAATCTTAGTCCTACAAATGCTTGATGCTCCTCAGTGTTGGATGAGTACAATTAGTAACGAGTCCCGGACTGACCTTTGCAGATGCCTCGGAAAAGGAAGACCAGACACAGCTCGAACCCACCCTTGGAGAGTCACGTGGGCTGGGTGATGGATTCCCGCGAGCACAGGCCCCGGACTGCTTCCATAAGGTATGGGACAGTGGGGAAGGGAGATCAGGCTGACTGCAGGGCGGGCAGCAGAGCCGTGACATTGATGGGACCAAGAAGAGAGAAAGTCTTTGGTCTGCAAATTAAAGAAAATTTAAGGAAGGTGCCCTCATCCAAATCCAAAAAACGGGAGCAGAGTCTAGAGAGCTTAATCCAGACCCCAGGAGGAGGGAGGCTGCCTTCTGAAGTGTGGCGGCTCAGTTGATTTCCAAAGTGGGTGTCTGCTGCCTCCCTCACGACAGCTAGGGAGTTGAATAAAGATACAGATTCCTGGACCCCACCCTAGATCTCCTGACTGAGCTTCAGGGAGTAGGGCCCAGATTCCTTTTTATTTTTTCTCAGGAAAACTACCCCAGTGTTCTCAGTTCCAAAGCAAGATTTGGGAGCCACTGACCTGTGCAGTCTACTCCCTGCAAAGATAGGCATGGTTTTAAGAAAAATACGTTTGGGTTAACCCATTACAGCTCATTAAGGAAAGTCAAATGTTAACACGGGATAAGTAAATGGCTAAAAGCTCAGGTTTGGGCACTGTACAGATCTGGGAAGTTAAATATTAGCTCTGTGACCCAGGGCAAGACTCCCAGTCTCTGTGAGCCCCAGTGACCTCTTTGTTAAAAGAGCATCCAAAGGTCGGTACAAAGAGTGAGACCCATGGATATATATGATAAGTTACGGGCCTAGCACAGTACCTGGGCCTCTTTGTTTGTTGCACTGTGAGAGGCTGGATCTTGGCTGCTGGAAGAGACCAGAGAGGCCCCTCCTATTTGATGGCTGGCAGGTCTGAGGAACCTGGTGACACTGTCTGTTTCATGGTCTCTATAGCTCCAGCCCCTCAGAAGGCACGCCTGCGGTTGGCAGCTATGGCTGTACCCCTCAATCGCTGCCCAAGTTCCAGCATCCTTCCCACGAGCTGCTCAAGGAAAACGGCTTCACACAACACGTCTACCACAAGTATCGTAGGCGCTGCCTTAACGGTAAGAAGCACAGAGCGAGAGGGCTGAGCTTCCTGGACCACTACTTAGATCCAGTGTAAGGGCTGGTGGAGCAGGTGACTATTTTCTCTAACCTCAGAGCAAGAAGTGATAGGACATAATGGCCAGGTAGTTTTGGAATACAGGAGGCAAAAAGAATCTGGTGCTTAGAACATTCCTGTTCCTTGATCTTTCTCTACTGATATAAAAAATACCAAGAATTTTCCTGGGTCTGGCAAGACCACCAGTGTCACAAAAGGGTGTGCATGAGACAGCATATATTCTCTAGAACAGTGACGGCCTGTGGACCAAATCCAGCCAGCAGCCTATCTTTGTACAGCCCTGGAGCTAACAGTTTTTTACATTTTTGAGTGTTTGTGGGATGGGGAGGGAGAGAATTTATGACAGAGACCATATGTGACCTGCAAAGCCTAAAATACTTACTCTCCAGCCTCTCACAGAAAAAGAGATGGCTGACCCCTGCTCTAGATGAGACTGCAAGGAGAGCCTCTCTAGACGCTCTCATCTGTTACCTTTCATCACAGAGGAGATAGCTTTTAACTGTAGGTTTCTGTCAGGTTGTTTCTAAAGATGCTCAGAGTCGATCTGAATGCTCACTTGGAGTTATTAAGTCACTCAATCCCCTTTTATTCAGCAAAACAAGGCTGCTAAATGCTTGGTTCATCTACCTTACTTCCCTCTTCGTGTGTGTGTGTGTGTGTGTGTGTGTGTGTGTGTAATTTATGGAGATACAATTTACATACCATACAGTTCATCCATTTAAAGTGTACAGTGCAGCCAGTGGCTTTTAGTATATTTAGGAGTTGTGCGTCCATCACTAGAATCCGTTTTAGAACATTTTCATTACCTTAGAAGTAAACCCTGTGCCCCTTACTAGTCACTCCCCCCCCCCCCACCTCCCCACCTCCTCCCAGGCCTGTGCAACCACCACTCTGCTCTCTGTCTTTATGGATTTGCCTGTTCTAGACTTTTCATATACATGGAATCATACAATATGTAGTCCTTTGTGACTGGCTTCTTTCCTTTAGCATAATAATTTCAAGATTCATTATATGTTGTGCCATGTATCAGAACTTCATTCCTTTTTATTATCAAACAACGTTCCACTGTGGATGTACCACATTTTGTCTATCCATTCATCAATCAATGGACATTTTGGGTTTCTGCTTTTTGTCTATCATGAGTAATGCTGCTTTGAACATTCCTGTACATGTTTTTGTGTGGACATAGGTTTTCATTTATCTTGAGTGGAAGAGGTGGGATTCCTGGGTCATATCATAGTGTAACTCTGTGTAACCTTTTGAAGAACTGCAAGACTGATTTCCAGAGTGGCAGCACTATTTTATATTCTTAACAGCAGTGTATGAGGGTTCTGATTTCTCCACATCCTCCCAAAACTTGTTATAGTCTATCTTTTTGAGTATAGCCATCCTAGTGGGTATGCAGTGATATCTTTTTATGGTTTTGATTTGATTTGATACGGTTTTGATAGCTAATAATGTTGAGCATTTTTTCATGTGCTATTGGCTATTTGTGAGAAATGTCTTCTTTGGAGAAATGTCTGTTCAGATCCTTTGTCTACTTTTTATCTGGATTGTTTGTCTTTATTATTAAGTTGTAATGATTCTTTATATATTCTAAGTACAAGCTCCTTATCAGATAACATAATTAGCGAATAGTTTTTCCCATTCTGTGGGTTGTCTTTTCACCTTGTTGATCATGTCCTTTTAAGAACAAAGGTTCTTAATTTTTTAGTGATATTAGATTTTTCTGTTTTTTCCTTTTGTTTCTTGGGTGTTTTACATATATTTTTTAATGGTACCATTTTTACTCGTTAACATTGTAGGACTGCTGAAATAATCGGTACTGATGATATAGTGAAGAATATAATTTGTTGGAGTACACAAATTATTTGTTCATGCTTTTCCTTGTTATATAACTACACTGAGAGCAGTAACCTTTGAGGTGGAGAGCTAGACCAGGATGACCTGGTTCTGAAGCTGATGCCACCTACTTCTGGGGGTGCTCAGGCCCAGTGCCCAGCAGCAGAGCCTGACGCAGGGTAGTTAGTCCTCAATAAACACTTCCCCAAACACTTAAGGGGGCAGGTGATGAGGAAGGGAGTTGGGAGGAGAAAAGACCGATGTCTTTGAGCCCCAGGATCATTTGTCCCCTGAAGCACAGGCAGCCTGGCTGTAAAACACATCTTTCCTCCTTCCTCCTCAATCAGAGCGGAAACGCTTGGGCATTGGCCAGTCTCAGGAGATGAACACTCTCTTCCGCTTCTGGTCCTTCTTCCTCCGAGATCACTTCAACAAAAAGATGTATGAGGAGTTCAAGCAGCTGGCTCTGGAGGATGCCAAAGAAGGCTACAGGTGAGTGGGATTGGGGTGAAGGCTCTGGCTGGGGCTTGGGGGCGTGGTGAGGGTTCTCCGTTGGGTCTACTTCCAGAACTGTAATTGGAAATCTATTGTATATATATTTCATGTACTTTGTAAAAAATTATTACTTTGAATGAGTAATATATTCAAAATTCAAAGAAGTCGGAAGGTTATGTAGCGAGTGAGGAGTCTCCTTATCCCAGTTTTACAGCCGTCTAGTTCCTTTCCCCACAGGCAGCCAGTATTGTTAGACTCTTGTGAGTCCTTTCTGAGAATACTTTGCTTATGTAAGCAAGAACAGACCTAGGGAGTCTCCCCACACACCTCTTTTGTTTACACAAGAGATGGCCTCCATTAGATATTATTTTGCACCTCACTTTTTCACTTAAGGCTATATTTTAGAGGTCATTCTGTATCCATTTATAAATGACTTTCTTGTTCTTTTTTTATAGCTTGTATGGTCTTACACTGTATAGATGTACCATAATTTATTTAACTAGTCTCCTATTAATAGATACTTCGGTTGCTTTCAACATTTTGCTATTCAAAAAAAAACCCAAAAACCTTTGAAGGGACACTTTTTCTCCCAAGTAAAATGTTTTCTCTGTAAGCAATTTGAAAAGGACAGAAATGTTTAAAGAAGCTGGGGGAAAATGTCCTTCAGTACAGAGACAGCCAGTGTTAATGTTCTGCCATATTATGTATATTTAGGTCATGCAAGGAATGCCTTTTTATGTTTTATTTATCATTTAGGTCATGCAAGGAATGCCTTTTTATGTCTTATTTATCATTTATAAGCATGAGCACTTTTCCATGTTGTTAAAATACTTAACCTTTTTGCCTTCTTACAGAAGTTGTTACATGAGACAAGATCATTTGAAAATCCCAATTCCCAAAGATAACCAGTGTCAATAATATTTAATATATGTAGTCTGTGCCCTTCCAGACTTTATGTGTGCATATATAGATATACATTTTACATATTTCTTTACAACAGTGGGTTTATTCTACATATAGCAGTTTGAAATGTGTTTTTTCTACTTTATAATATATTGTAAACATCTCTCAGTAGTATATTTACATTATAATTTTTTTTTTTTTTTCCCCCCCGGTACGCGGGCCTCTCACTGTTGTGGCCTCTCCCGTTGCGGAGCACAGGCTCCGGACGGGCAGGCTCAGCGGCCATGGCTCACGGGCCCAGCTGCTCCGCGGCATGTGGGATCTTCCCGGACCGGGGCACGAACCCATGTCCCCTGCATCGGCAGGCAGACTCTCAACCACTGCGCCACCAGGGAAGCCCCATTATAATTTTTAATAGATTATATTATTCTTTTGTACTAAGTTACCATGATTTTTCTTAATTGCTTCTCTAAGACATTTAAATTTTTCAAAATAATGCTGCTATGAACAATTTTGTACATCTATACAATCTTAGTCTACATTTTTGGTCATTTCCCTGGTGTATGTTCCTAGAATTGAAATTTCTGAGGTAAATGAAGAAACCTACTAATTGGCATGGTCAAATGGCTTTGCAGAGAGTTCATGCCAGTGCTTGACAAACTTTGCATAAGGGACAGACAACAAATATCTTGGGCTTTGTGGGACATAAAGTCTCTGTTTCAAATACTCTGCTCTTGTAGCAGAAAGCACCCAGTGATATTTCATAGGCAAATGGGTGTGGGCAGGATGCTGTCGTTCATTCGGCCTCAGTTTGCTGACCCTTGGCAAACATTTAATGCTGGACTCATTTAGACTAGCATTAAATGTTAGCCTTCTCAAAGTATGCTTACCATTTTCTCAATAATCCATGTGTTTAAACTGTTTCATAGTTCATCTATCATCCAGGTGCATTTCCTGTCTTACAGATAAAGAAACTGTCCCAATTTCACTGGCTTGTGTTCTTCTACAGATATGGTTTGGAGTGCCTTTTTCGATACTACAGTTATGGCCTGGAAAAGAAGTTCCGGCTGGACATATTTAAGGACTTTCAGGAGGAAACCGTGAAGGACTATGAAGCTGGTAAGAGTCAAAGAGTTGGGGCTCTGCGAGCCCTGGTCATCTCAGTCTTCTCGGCCCCTAGCTCTGCCTGGGCTTGTCTGTATCATGTCATACCTCCCTCTCCTGAGCCTCTCAATTCTCAACTTCGCAGAACCAAGTCTCTCTCTACCTCTTTCTCCTCTTTCCCTGCAGGTCAGCTGTATGGGCTGGAGAAGTTCTGGGCCTTCTTGAAATATTCCAAAGCCAAAAATTTGGACATTGACCCCAAACTTCAAGAATACCTCGGCAAATTCCGACGTCTTGAAGACTTCCGAGTGGATGTGAGTGGATGTCTCTCCTCTTTCCCACCCTGATTGTCCTAGAAAGAAAACTGGACCAGACATCAGGATACCTGGATTTTGATCCCAGCTGTGCCACTAGCTCAGGGACCCTTCCCGCCCGCATTTGGGCCTCAGTTTCTTTGTTAAACAGAGGGTGTGAGAAGTTGGGTAGTGAAGGCTAATTGGAGGGTGTATGGTTGCTCCTTCCTCCCTTTCCCATGGTGGATGTGGCTAAACCATCATAATGCTCTTTCCCTATTATCTCTAACCCTCCTTGCTGCTGTGCCCTAGTTAGAGGTGATCAGGATGAGTACCCAAGGTAAATGTCTTTCTGGGGGAGGTCAGTTCTAACCCCAGAAGTTTATAAAATATGTCCTATTCTTCCCTGCTCCGCCCACTTCATCTTCTTGGAGCAGTGACTCGACAGTGACATCCAGTGGTGGGTCAAAGTTATTACTGCTGGTTCCTCTTCCGTGCTAGGTGCTTCAGGGACTCCGGAGATAAGTAAAACTTTTTCCTTCAGAGAGATTATAATGTAGTAGGGATATGCCAGTCATCTTATTCCCTTGAAACCTTTTAGCAAAAGGGCAAATAGAAGTAAATAATAGTCCTCACATTTATTTAAAAATTGACACTGATAGCGCTAGGCACTTACACTGACCTCATTTAACCTTTATAATATGAAGCAAGCAGGGTTACCGTTATCATCACTATAGCAGTGGATGAACTGGAGCCCATGGCCAGCCAGTGAGATAGTGGCAGCGCTGCTCAGGTGTCCTGACAAAAAGATGAGTCCGTTGTCTTCCATCCTTAAGGTCTTCCTCCTTTCTGGGCCTGGAGCGGGGAGTACATGGGCAGAGAATAGGAAGACCTATTGGGAGTAGAGCAAGAAGGGCTCCACTCTTGGCTCCCAGAAAGGGAAGGAAGTGTCCTCGGGGTTATTACAGGATCTTTGGCAGTGGTGAGGCTAGACTGGATCCCGGTCTGACTCTCAAGATCAGTGTCCTTTTTAGGGCCTTGAGGGGCGTGAGGCGGTCCCCAGGAGCATCTGGGCCTTCTGAGCGGAGGCATTGCAGCATATTGCATGCCACGTTCCATGTACCATCTCCTGAGCAGTGACCTCTTCTCAGAAGGGGAGCAGAAACTTGTATGGATAAAGGCCTGGGCTTCAGAGGTCGATGGGCCTGGTCCAGATTTTGTCTTTACCAGTTAAAAGCTCTGGGACCCTTGGCAAATTATTTTTCTATGCTTCGCTGTCCTCATCTGTGAAATCAGATGGTCATGTCTACATCAAAGGGTGGTGTAGACCACCGGAGTGAATGTGCATAAACCAGCACAAGGCTTGGCCTCTTGGCATAGAGATGTGCTTAATGAAACGGGTGACTAGCTTTTAGGGTCATAAACCTACTCATCATGTGCACTGGGAGGTAGGAAGTTAGGGGCTCTCTAGACAGCTCTGGCAAGGAAGGGGGTGTGGGTAGTAGTGCTCCCTCGTCACCTCTGACTCCCTCCTCTGTTGCAGCCCCCCATGGGTGAGGAGGGCAACCACAAGCGACACCCAGTGGCAGCAGGAGGTGGCAGCGGCGAGGGCAGGAGGCGGTGCCCCTCCCAGTCTTCCGGCAGGCCCTCCGCCGTGGTCGGCCAGCCCCCCGCACCAGCTCCCGGCCAGCCCCTCCGAGAAGACGCTAAATGGACAAGCCAGCCCTCGGACGCACAGGCTTTGGGGAAGTGAAAACCCTTTAGCCCTGGGCTTTGGGGGGGAGGGGTGGGGGGCAGGCGAGAGTCGGGGGCCAGTCCCAGGAGAGGGGACGGAGGAGGGACAGGCCTGGAGTCGTTAGGGTGGGCCTTTGTGCTGAGTAGCAGCGTGTACGCCACTTGGGCCATCAGAGGCGCCCCCGGGCAGGAGCCTGCACACACCCCTTCCCTCTTCTCTCTCCATGGCTCTTCTTCACATCCTAGCTTCTTCTGGGGGGGAGGGTAAGGGGGGAAATTTTTTTTATATATATATATATATATACATATATATATATCAAGTTTTAAATTATTGATAGTTTGTCTGGATTACCAAAATCACTCTGCAGCCCTGCCCGCGGCTGGTAGGCCGCAACCCTGGTCCCCATCCACAGCTGCGTCCTGCTCCCCCGCCAGCCAACTATGCAGCCCACAGAAAGGCCCTGTGGGCCCCATTGCCCAGCACTGTTTCACAGAAGGCTCTGGCAGCGTCCCTGGGCCCCACGAGCACCAGCCCCTTGATCATCTGGGGCTTGCCATCACCTTGTTCTCTCCCTGCTGTCCCTACCACGCCCTCCTGCCATCTTCCGGGAGAAGGAAACCAAAGGATCTAGCAGTGGGGGTGGGGAAGGTTTCGGCCTCTCTCCACTCCCCTCCCCCCATGCCCCTTACTCCCCAGCCCAGAGAGACGCTGCTCGTACCAGAAGAGACTATTGAAAGATGATTTATTTTATTTTTCTCTGACCTTTCCATCCTTGGGAAAATGGAAAAGAAAAAAAAAAAAAAAAGACAAAATCGACCATAAAAGACCAAAAAAAACCATCAGAAAACCCCCACCTAATCCACAGAAAGTGATGTCTTTCCCCTACCCTTGGAATTTTCTTGTTTTGTTCTTGGAAATAGTATTTTTTTAAAAGTTGCCTTATTGTGGAGTGGGAATCTGAAATACCCAAATGCCTGTTTTCCTCGGTGGAGTCAACTCGAAGAGCTCCCACCTTCTCTGGATGTGCCTGGGCTGGATTGACTAGAATCTGTCTCTGGATTGAGTTGCATGTACAGTGCCTCCTGCCTGTAGGCAAGAGAGTGGGGGCGGCTCAGATCAGAGCCGTGCCCAGAATATCTCCGCTGTTGCATCATTTGAAGCTGACGTCCCGTGTCTGTACACTGCTGCCACTGTCGTGTCCTTGCTCTGCTTGCTGTTGCCTCACGCCAGGGCCCATCCTGCCGTGACACCCTTCATCCTACCCTTGGAACGCCAAGGCCAAGTTTGCTTCAGACTGTTGGAGGACAGCGTTGGCCTGGATCTGGGACACACTCGTCCTCGGCTTGACTGTCTCCCCCACCTCAGAGGGGAAAGGTGAACACTTGGCAGCTGAGGCTTGGAAACCTTTCTTGCGTTCCCTTGATAGATCTCTGAGACCTCGAGGAGGCTTTGTCTCTTAAAAGGTGGAGAGAGATGCCGTTCTCCTCCCTTGGGCTGGGTGGGTATCCCCATCTTGCGCCCCGCCCCCTCTGCAAGCCATCTCTGCCCACCCTCCAGTTGACCCCGCCTGGGAACGAGAGATTGAGGAGGCTTTGAGGGGGGGGGGGTCCTGCTAGTTGGAGAAGCCCTGTGGCAGGAAGGTATATGTGGACATAGAGTATACCTGACTTCTCCAGCCACTGACTGCTTGACTTGGGCTGTGAATGACAGTGGAATGGCTGGAGTCTCCTGGCATCCAGAGCTAGGGAGGGTGACCCAAAACTGACCCTCACAAACGGGGCTGGGTGCGGGTATGCCAACACGCTCACCACAGGGTGGTGGTGGTCATGTGCTCACGCCTCTTGGCCCTTGTCAACTGCTTCCTCTGTCGGGCCCTAAAGCTGGGAGTCGGAGACAGTATCTCAGGCTGGCTAGGGCTTGCCCTGTGTCTTGGGCACCTCATTGCTTTGGCCTGTGCCCTCCCCCATCTCTGGCCTCCCAGCAGTTAGTATGGGGAAGCCCATCTTAGTTCCTGTGAGCCGGTTGTCTCGAAAGCCAAGGATGAGTGTCTGGTCTCTGCTCTGACAGTGGGGTTTGAGGCCTCTCCCTGCCCAATCTGGTGCCTGCCCCACAATGTGCCAGACACTGGACGCCCTCCTCCTTCCCTTCATTGCCTCTTTCTTTCCTTTGGGTTGCTCGGCCCTGTACTGTATCCAGCACCACAGAAACCTCAGTGTTTGTCCTCTGCTGGGTTTGGGGGCACAAGGAAGCCTTGGGAGTATGGGGAAAGGCTGTTCTTATCTAGAGTTTACTCCCAGGCCAGGGGGCTGCCATCCTCTCCCTGATCCTCCCCACAGACACCCCACAAAGAGGAAGCCCCTTTTGGGTGGGGAGGTGAGGACGTCATCTCAACACAGGCTGGGGTTGGGGGGGCTTTTTTCTTCCTTTTTTTCTTTCCTTTTTTTTTTTTTTTTTGTAACATGTTCGGAGTTAATGTTGCAAAGAGTAGTTTACATCTTCACTTTCTGAAGACACTTGAATTTAGGACCGATGTATCTGTGACAAGCACCATCCTCCATGGGGATCCAAGATCGGAGACACAAAGCAACAGCCTGCCCAAATCCTTCTGTTCATCCTGTTCCCTTCCAAGATTGGTCCATGCCAACACAGCCTTTGGGCATCAAACATCAGAAGGTCTGTGTACCTCGGCCCTGCTAAGGGGCAGGTTTCTCTTGTGCTCTCCCGAATCTGGGAGTAAAGGCACTACCGGGAGAGAGGGGCTGCCCGACCCTGCCCCAGCCTGGACCCCTTGGGCTCAGATCCAGGTGCAGAGCCCCCCGTGTCAAAGTTGTTATGTTTTTGTTTTGTTCTATTGTAGCTCTTTTTTTCCCTTTCCTGATGATTGGTTTTTGAAAAGAAAGTTGCTCAGAAAGCCCTGGCAGTGGGGAGGAGGGGCAAGAAGGACAACTAGCTTATAGGGAGGGTGGTGGTTTTTTGCCAGAAGCCTGGGTAGAGCGGTCTGAATCGCCTGGTGCCTCCTGAGCGGGGGCCCCAGGTCTCTCCTGTGTGCGCAGGGCCCGGGATGTGCCCCAGCCCCACCCTCTCCTTCAGCCGTGTTGATAGCAGAGGCAGAGAAGATAAGAGCATACAGCCCATTTCTGACTGGAGAGGAAAACTTGTCACCGGCTTTGCGGAGAAGGTTCCACCTTATGCTCATAGTACGTTATCTTTACCATGTGCTAGGATATCACACTTACAAGGACAAAAAAATGTAAAATACTTGAATGAGCTTGTATTATAACATTAATATTATTGAGAGTATCTGCTTTCCAGGCTGAAGTGATTCATTCATTATTCTAGTCCTGCTTTAGTCGTTTGTAATTTGTGGTAATTATGCTTTTCTTTTTAATACAAAAAAATGTATAAAAATAAAAACTTGAAAAGGCAAAAGCCTGGCTGGTCTCCCATGAGGGGTGCAGCTGTTGGGGGTGTGGGGTGGAGCCTGGTTCTCCTTCCGACCGCAGATGCAGAGGAGCCTGCGCTCGAGATGTGCACAGGAAACCTCTGCGGGGCTCTGCCACTGTGCTGTCGGGGAGTCTGCCCAGGGCAGGGGCTCCGACACAGCTTCTACGGCTGCTAGTGCTTCCAGGTGCTTCCTCGGAGATACGGATAGCTTCTGCCAGCCTCGAATTCATGTCCGCCTCGTGTCTCAAGTGAGATGGGGCAGCTGTAGGCAGTGCCACAGACCAGAGCGACACCATTCCAGCAGCTGGAATTCCAGGACTTCAGGCACTGGCTGTGGCTTGGCATGGTGTCAGGGCACAGCCAGGAAGATACAAGTTGCTGTGACTCCTCACTGGACAGACTTCCCTGCGGGGTATAAAGGAGGGACCAACACTCTGGCCCTGTGGAATCCAGGTCGGCCACGGAGCCCTGAGGATTGACGCCGGGGAAGGAAGGATGAGCGCTCCCACCGGGACCGGCCCCTGAGCCGCTGGTGCCTCTCCCTGGCCCGTGAGGCCAGGCACCAGCCGTGATAACAGTCTGAATGCCGGCCTGGCCTTGGGGTGTCATTACAAAACTGAACATGAGCCTTGTTTACTCATTCCCTGACAGCTGTTTGTCTCCTGGGCCTGGCACTTGAGCGTCCCATCTGAAATGGTTTTCCAGACAATTCCACCTTGTGTCAGGTGAACAGGAACTTTTAAGAGCACCGATGGCCCGCAGGGGCCAAAGGTGAGGCTAGGAGACAGTGGGCAGGGCTTCTGCGGGCCGCTCTGGGAAGAGGAAGACATTCATTCCTTCCACGGCTTGCTGGGAATACTCTGAAAGAAGCCACAGAGTGTTTCCTTGTGCTGCTGTGGCGCACAGACACCGTGTGGTCGTGATGCCGGAACGACTCGCGTAGGGAGACAGAAACCCAAGTATCCACTGCAGAGGAGACCGGTTTGTTTTCCATCCTTTCTCCATTCACATGCACATTCTCTGCTGCCAGTGTTGAGACCTCGACCTTTCCTTGAGGCTATTTGGTAACCAGTGTCGGGGCCAGGCCCAGCGACCTGCCTAAGAAAAAGGGTGAGAGAACGAGGCCCCTCGCCCCTCTGCGCCCCAGCAGTACCTCCAGGTCTACAGATGTTAAAAGGAGAGACCGCCATTCTTCCTCGTCCTCCACACTCCTCATTCCCGACCCTCGCTCAGTGCACTGAAGAGGGACTGTTTTCCAACTGTTTGTTTATTCGTAGGACAGGTTGTGGGTGCAGGTCAGCAGCTATGAGCACGTCCAGCACTGGTGCACCAGGAGCTGTGCTCAAGCGAAGGGCATGCGGTCCCAGGGAGGGGGCTGGGCCCACCCAGGCCCGAGGAGGACGCTGCCTGCTAAGCGCCTGGTCAGCCTCTTGGGCAGGTCCTCTGGGGAGATAGGGCCCGTGGCAGGAGGTCGTCCTCTTTGATAGCTCTGCCTGGAGATGTGGCTCTATCAGATGTTAAAGTATTTTATAAAACTACAGCGGGTGGTTTTCTGGACAGAGGAGAACTGAATGTTCAGGAGAATATCAGACTTTGGAAACTATAATGGTGGCCTTGCAAATCAGAGTGTCTTCACGTTGATACTGGGAGCCACAGGGTTCCTGGCAATGTCAGAAGCAGCTGAGCGAACCCAGGGTGGGGACTGCTTCCACCTGGGCAGCTCTGTGGTTTTGTGGTAGACAATAAGGTCTCATTGGAAAAGGCATTACTGCTAAAGTCATCCTGTAAAAATGGTGCTGAAACAACTGGTTCATCATTTGACGGGGAAATAAGGATTTTACCCGCTGTTCAGCCGTGTATTTCTTGCTTTAGTGGAGGAAGAGGGTTCTAGCTCCTTTGGTCCTGCCTCAGAGAGCCTAATTAGGGGCCTCAGTTGGGTGTCCCCAAAGGTCAGCAACTCTGACCCTACCCTCTGTGGCTAAAAGGGGGCCCCAGCTGAGCGGGGCCACAGGGTTTGGCCCTTGGTTTCTGCCTGTGGCTGAAGGTATTGAGATTTGGTCTGCGCCTCTTTTTGGTATCTCAGTTGTAATCACAGGAGGAGCTCCTGTGATTGGTATTTTCAGAGAGGGGTGATGTCCAATTGCAGTGGGGCAGAGTTGAAGTGGGGTCTTTATCACGCTGTGTGTCTGTGCGTGTGCGTGCGTGTGCGTGTGCGTGCGTGTGCGCGCGTGTGTGTGTTGGGAAGCAGTGGGGACTTGATCCCAGAACCGTTGCCAGGGTGTCCTGGCCCTGGCCTGAGTACAGAATGAGAGAGGCTTTTGGGGACAGGAAGGGGCAAAGCAGTATCTTCTGGTTCTCCCACCCCCTGGCATCAGGAGGAGCTATGGCTGGAGCCACACGGCCTCCTGCCACCTTTGTCATTCTCTGTCTTGGCAGGGCTACCAAGGAGTCATCTGGTGTCCCTCTCCCCTCCCACAGCAGAGGACCAGGGGGACCCCCCAGGAGCCCTGTCAAAGTGGCTTCTTCCCTCTGACTGGTCTCCATTCCAAGGAGCTATATTTTTTCGTTACGCCAATCCCTGGTCCCCTTTGGGATGATAGGGGTAGTTGGGGGAGCCCTGGTCCCCTCCTTGGGCCTGCTTTTCCAGGAGGCTGACCTCCCCCCTGCCCTCGTGGTTTGTCATCAGAGTGCGTGGCTGAAGGAGCGAGTTGGTAGGTGCGACCAGGAGGCCTCAGGCCACCTTAGCAGACCGTGCAGAGGGCACGGCTAGGATGGCACTCGGGCCGTGTCTTAGTCCATCTTCTTCGGGGGATCAGGGATGCTCTCGGAGAGCGGGGTGAAGCCCAGCAGGATCATGTGTCTCTCGTAGGCCTTGGTCTGCTTAAACACAGTGTCAGTCCCGTGGAGGTGGTCCAGCACCCCCAGGACCCCATAGCACTGGTTGAACCTGGAGGAGAGAGGAGGGTGCTGTAGGCGGGCGAGCTCACGTTCATTTCACCTGTGCCAGCCTCGCACACATTTCTGAGCCCTCCTATCCCACACCCATCCCCACCATGCTGCCCACCTGCTTCCGGTTAACCCAGGCGGTGGTGCACATATTCCTGGGGCCATTCCAGACTGAAAAGCTATGCTCTTCCTTTGGAAAGCTCTCTGTGATTTCGACGCACACAACTCAGAACCTGGGGCAAAGCCAGCTTGTTCAGGTAGGTTCTGGGACCACCTCCATCAGAATCCCCTGGAACACAACTAAATGCAGATGCCAAGGCCTGCTCCCCCAGATGCTTTGATTCAGTGTATTTGGAGTGGAACCCAAGAGGCTGCATTTGAGGAAAGCATCTCAGGTGATTCTGGTGCAGGAGTTTCCTAGGCCACACCGACGAGCCTGGAGGCTTTCCGAGCGTGCACAGACAGCTTCTGTTGAATTGCCTACGGGAATTCTATGCATGTATGCATCTTCCTGGTAGTGCCCATGGCTTACACTAGATCCTCAAAGGGTCCAGGACCTAAATGCAGGTTAAAGACCCATAGTGGCAGGAAGATCCAATATCAGACAGAAAGAGAATGGCAAGGTGATCTGGGTCCCAGGATGGTCACCTTTGTCCCCACCTGCAGACCTCGCTCTCCACTAGACCCGCATTTGAACTGAGACACCGGTGTCTGCTGTCAGGAGCTCTAGGAGTCAATGTGGGGGCTACTGCCCAGAGACCCACAGTGGGGAGGGTTGCCTTACTTGAGATGGTGGTAGTCATGGAATTCAGGTGAAGGCAAGAAGGGTAGGTGGTAGCCACAGTGGGAGATGATGGTGATGATGAGGACCAAAGAAAACCAAATGGTGATGGAGGACAAGTGGGATCCCATGACGATGGGACCCACCATCGCCGGCAGCATGTTGGAGACCTGCAAGGAGAGGGCTGTTCGAAGAGGGGCCCAAGGGGATGGAGGGGACTCAGGTGGGTGTCCGGGAAGACTTCTTGACCCAGATCTGGGGAAGCCGAATGAGTTTCTGGACTTGATTTGCTGGACTCCTTCAGACATGAAACTTAGGACAAGTTATTAACTGTTTGAACCTCAACTTCCTCATTAGCAAAATGAGGATTTACACAGTTGTTGGGAGGATTAAATGAGATAACTTATGTTGGGCATCTAGCATCGCCCGGCATATGCCAACAACAAATGGTAGCTGTTGAATGGGCAGAAGAGCGAGCCAGTGTGATCCCGCTCTGTGCAGGAGACTACCTTAGGGAAGGGGGTTGGCGCCCGCTGCCCTTTCCTCTGGGGGAGCCGAGCTCTACTCACCACATGCTCAATAGGATGTGCGTAGAGGGAGATCACACCAATGGGAGCTGTCCACTCGTGGTGTTTCTTGTGGATTTTCTTGTAGAGTTTTGGGTGGTGAAGGAGGCTGGGAAGAGAGTTAACAGTTGATAAATCGGCCAACCTCCCTCTCCCCCTGCCCCACCAGAACACGAGAAACCAAAGGTAGGAACTGGGGTTATATCCACGGAGCAAAGTTTCACATCCAGTGAAAACACACTGGATTGGTGCTCCGACAGCCCTGCCTTGTGAGTTCTTCTGGTGACGTTGCCTCTCTCTACCTCAGTTGTATGAGCTGTAAAATAGGGAGGATGGCCAGAAAGGATTCAATCAAGGGGATGAATGGGAAACTGCCCTGCCACACACATGAACGGAGATCCCGGACCCTCGTCGGTGGTCGCACATTGTCAGCGGTGGAGCGAAGAGTTGTCTTCGTGTTAGCTAGTTAGCGGGAGGCTCTTGATGCCAGGTGCTGTTGGTCGCACCCCTACAACTCCGAGGAGGCCAGGTTTCACCCCCGTTGGTGGGTGAACCTGGGAGAGTGAGGAGCTGGCTGTGCTCAGGAAGGAAAGCGCTCACCGGTGTGCATAGTAGAACAGCACTTCCTCAGTCAGCGTGAAGACTGCCAGCTCCAGGAGGAACCAGTGGAAGGTGGGTAGCTCTCGGCGGCAGGGGTCGCCCCCCAACTTGAGGATGGGATAGAGCCAGACCATCATGGGGAAAGAGATCACAAACTGGTTGAAGAGAACCGTGTGGATAGACTGGCGTAGTTTCATGGGGTCCACCTGCCCGGGGGGGGGGGAGAAGGAAGAAAGGAGGTGGATGAGAGTGTGGGAAGTAGGTCTTTCCCTTCTAGGAACCAGGCTCCTCTGTGAGCAGCTCTCGGGAGACCCTCGCTCGGGGCTGGATGCTAGGAGTGATGTCTGCCTGTAGCCAGCAACCCCTGAGTGCTGCCCGGCCCAGGGATGGAACCGCCTGGTAATGCCCTGCCTTTGGAAACTCCCCTCCCCCGGCCTTAGTTTCTGCCTGAAGCTGCCTGCTCCTTCCTGCTTCTGCAGCTTCCACCACCGTCCTCCCCATTTCTCTGGCCAGGCCCAACCCCACGGACTCCCGACAGGCATCTTGGGGAGCCTCCAGGGTGCTTGGAGAAGGCTCCCAGCTTCATTCCTTCTTCAGCCTTTTGGTCCCTGCTCGTCCAGAGAGCCTTGACCAGGACCAGGTGCAGAGATCAGGGTCGCCTGCCTCCTCGTGTGGTCCAGCCTCCCTGGGTGGGAGCCAGGGAGCTGCTATCTGCCCTCTTGTCCCGCTTGCTGTGAGCAGGTCTTGCTGGTTTTCAGGGTGGGGCTGTCAGGATGAGGGGCTGCCTGCGCATTCTCCCCAGAGCGCTGTGGAGAGCTGGCCTTACGTGCTCATCCCTTCGAGCCTCAAGACTACAGCCAGCGTTTCCTTGGGAACCAGTGACCCCTGACCCTTCCCTTTGTCAGAGCCCTGGAGCTCCTGGGAATAGCCCCATCTCCACAGGTCACTTGCTGGTCCCGATGAACTGGTTTGGCATTCTCAAAGGGGATTCCCTCCTGAGAACTGTCTGCAAGCTGGAGGGTTTCTGCTCCTAGGTGCGGCCGGGTTCAGCGTGGTCCTCATACTTCAGGCCTGCCTGTTCCTCTGCCTTTTCCATGTCCCGCATGTATTGATGGACCAGAATTCCTCCCATGGTGAAGCCAGGTCTGGGCAGCCTTGGTCTGAGAGCACCACAGAGGAAGCCATACACCTCTTCTAGCAGCCTTGACCAGGAGGTGAGTGTGACATGCGATTATTCACTCAGCTGATATCGAGCACCCTCTGTGTGTCAGGCAGTGTTCTATGTGCTGGGAAGGAAGCAGTGAACAAAAAGATTCCTGCCCTCACTGAGTTTATACTCTTATCGTTTTAAGTAGAATGGTCAGGGTAGGCTTCACTGAGATGGTGAGATTTGAACAAAGATGAGGGAAACAGGTATCTGGGGGAAGTGTCTTCTGGCAAAGGGAAGAGCTGGTGAAAAGGCTCCACGATAGGCCACACTCCTGGCGTACTTGGCTGGAGAAGAGTGAGGTGTGAGGTGGGGAGAAGTGGGAGGGGAGGTCAGAGCGGCAGGGAGGAGCCAGTGCGTACAGGGCCCCGTAGGCCACTTTGAGGACCTTGGCTTCTATTCCAAGAGAAGTGAGGGTCATCCCAAGGTTGTGAGCGGAGAAGTGACAGGATCTTACAGGGTTACTCTGGCTGCTGTGCTGGGAATAGACAGTAGGAGACCAAGAATACAAACGGGAAGACTAGAAGTGCTAAAGTACACATTTAACAGGATGGTGGCAATGGAGGTGGTGGGAAAGGGCTGGATCCTGGATCCCTTTGGAAATTGCGCCAATAGGGTTTCCTGATAGATTGGATGTGGTGTATGAGGGAAAGACAGTCGTCAGGGGTGACTCCAAGGCCTCTGGACTGAAAGGCTCCCCAGCTGAGACTGGGGAGGCTGTGGGTATCAAAGGCTTTGGGGGCTGGGAAAGCAGGAATTCCCCTTGGGTCATGTTGCATTGGAGATGTCAGGGAGGCATTTGGATGTTTAGTCCTGCACCGGGAGAGAGTTCTGAGCTCGAGAGGTAAATTGGCGAGCTGTTGGCGTTGAGGCGGTTATTTAAAGTCATGACGCCGAGGGGATGAGGACAGAAGACGACGAGGCTGTGCCCTGGGCGTCAGCGTAAACAGGGTGGGGAGGTTAGGCTGGGGAGGATCCAGAAAGGAGGCTGTGAAGGGGTGAGTGGCGAGCTGTGAGGACACAGGGGGGCCTTGGCAGCCGGTATAAGAAGCTACAACAGGATGCGGCATGAGCAACTTGTGGAGACGGCCCTGGTAGGTCTAATGAGACAAGCCTGCGACAGGAGCACTGGTGACCTAGCCCAGGACAATCGTGGTGGAGCGGTGGAGGTGAAGGCCTGATGCTAGGAGGTTTCTAGAGGAGGTGAGAGGATTGTTTTCTGATTATTTTAGGAGGTGCAGGCTGAAGGATTTAGAGTTTTATGGTGTCTGAACTTAGCTTCAAATGATGAAGCAAAAAATTATAGATGCATAGATATTTATAGTTTTATATACAGAAAAAGCACATATTGTAAAATGTTTAAGACAAGACTGGAGAATCTAGGTGGTATATAAATGAGTGATCAGGGTACTACTACCTTTTCCACTTCTGTATACGTGTTTTCAATTTTTCATAATTCTGAAATTTTGGGAAAAGACAGTGGACAGGGAGAAATCAGAAACTGTATAGACAACCCTTTAAAGAGCTTTGCTGCAAAGGGGACCAAAAATATGAGTGGGAGTGAGTATGGGAGATGGACGCAAGGTTTTTGGTTTTGGTTTGGTTTTAAGCTGGGAAAAATTATAGCAGGTTTGTAATAAGCCAGAGAGTAAAATCCAGAAGAGGAAGAAAAAAAAAAGGACAAAAGAAAGAGAAGGAAGAATTGCTGGAGCAACTTGCTGGAGTAAACAAGAGGTGCTGGGTGTAGCGTGCAGACAGTGGAGGAACGGGCTGGAGTAGGACCAGAGAGAGGCCACGGGCTGCAGCAGGTGGGCAGTCAGAGCGTGTGCGCAAGTGCTGCCCCCAGGCTGCGGTGGTGCACGGCTGGGGGAGCTGTCTTGTGCTTGAAGGCAAGGCCACCCTCTGGGAGGAGGTGACGCGCAGAGGTGTTGAGGATCTGAGGAGGGAGGAGAGGCGTGAACTAGCCATCCAGTCCGGGAGAGTGGGAGGGTACCCAGAGCCGGGCGGCGGGGGTGGCTGGTGGTGTCCTATGAATGCCATTGCGTTCAGGTCCCACTCGATGACCTGTTTCTGATGCCTTAGGTCAGGGGTCAGACCTTCTTGGAATGGGCCGAAGACGAAATGGCATCTGGGGCTTCCTTCTTACTTGTGTGACTACCTGAGGGTGCACACAGTGTAGGAGCAGATGAGACGAGCTTTCCAAGAACAGTCTAACCTTGAACTAGTCAGTGTACCTTTCTGAACCTCAGCTTCTGCCAAATGCCACGAGACCTTCCCTGTGTGGCCCTCCATTCATGGTAGACTGTGAAGTTTATTGCGCTAGGTGATTCTCTTGAGAGCTGATGTGGCCTAGTGGTTCAGGGCACAAGCCCTGGTGTCACAAAACTTGAGTGTGAATCATGGTTCTAAGCCATGTCACATTTCAGAGCCTCTGTTTTCTCTTCTGAATGATGAAGATGTTTACAGTACTTGGCCTTGAAGATGTACGCATTCAGTCAGTGGTGCCTGGTAAGGAGACCTCCGTGGTCTGACAGGTGAAACATTCTCAAGGAACAAGCCCTGCTTTTAACCCTTTGGCTCTGGTCCCTGCCTGCTAAGCTGGACATGGAGGAGGCCCCTGCCGTCTCAAGTGAGGGGAACTGTGAGCCAGGCCAGTAGCTCTGGTTCAGGAAGGGATGGTCCTGAAAGCCTGGATCAAGGGCACTATTTCTCAGCCACTCTGCTTTCTAGAGTGCTGGCCTGGGTAGCATTCCCTGAGAGCTGAGGTGACTCACCCAGGCACCTGGACAGATAATTAAAAATGATTGTCTGGGCTTCCCTGGTGGCGCAGTGGTTAAGAATCTGCCTGCCGATGCAGGGGACACAGGTTCGAGCCCTGGTCTGGGAAGATCCCACATGCCGCAGAGCAACTAAGCCCGTGTGCCACAACTACTGAGCCCACGTGCCACAACTAGAGCCTGGAGCCCGTGCTCCGCAACCAGAGAAGCCACTGCAATGAGAAGCCGGCGCACCGCAACGCAGAGTAGCCCCCGCTCGCCACAACTAGAGAAAGCCTGCGCACAGCAACGAAGACCCAACGCAGCCAAAAATAGAAACAAATAAATAAGTAAATTTATAAAAAAAAAAAAAAAAGAAAATGATTGTCTTGTCTGGGAAGGAAGCCAGGATGTGGTTTTGGTGGAGCTGGGGTAAAAAAAATCTGGGTTTAAGAATCAGCTTCTTCCTTGTTGTGTAAGAAAAGGCTTCTGAGGTCGTCAGAGTGCTAAGCAGGCATGCCGGGCTCAGGGAGCAGTGAACAGTGGGGCTCAATTCCCCGGCCTGTGTCCATCCAAGATATGTGCTTGGCTTTTCCTCTCCTTCGGGGCCAGGAGTTCCTTGTCAGCAAGGTCCAGGCCTTGTTTACCATGGATGACCTACGTACTATTGGTGGTACTGAATAATCAGGAAGGAGGACCTGCTTAAAAAACCACCACCACCGACACATTCACAATTAATATGATAGTGGGGTTATGCGTTGTTTCAGCAGCTGTGTCCCTCTCTCACAAGGGCAGCTGTTATCCTTGTTTTCAGCATCTAGTTATTGCTGTCCCTTCTCCCATGGATAGGTGGAGACCTACCTGACATATCTGGGACTCGGTCCAGTGCTGGGCTGAGACAATCATTTCTGTTCCTAAAATGCTGGCCACAGTGCCGTAGGCCAGCACAGGCAGGTTGAGAGCCAGGCCTGGGAGCCAGAAGATTAGTCTTGACTGACATTAGTCTTGGCTGGCTGGCTAATGTCATATTATTTCCTCTCTCTAATCTTCTAACCTGAGGGAGCCTTGTACAGAATCACTTGGCTCCCACCGGCCCCGGTCTCTCCTGGGCCAGCCAGCAGAATTTGGAGAATGTGGCTTTAGCCCCTGCGTTCTGTGCCTTGACCAGGAGAAGCTGCAGCAACACTTACAGGGTCATTCTTGCCGACCTGAATTCGGTAGCGGGAGATGAAGTTAGGCTTCCCAGTTGTGTCAACCACCAGTAGAAGTCCACTGACGGTCCAGAAGAGCAGAACGGGCACCTGGGTGGCACCTGAGGTTGGGAAGAAGAAGGAAACGTCAGGACAACTTCAGGAGCTGGCGGCGCACGTATTCCCCGAACACATGCTCGGTGGTAACTGAGGCTGCGTCGTAGGCAGGCCCTTGCCAGGGCCTTGGTGTCTGGGTGCTCGGCGCTGGGGGCCTGCCTTCAGTCTTGGGGTGACAAACCAGCTGTGGGGACTGGAATGGGTCACTTAAGGAGCGTCTCTATTTCTTTTCTTAGCTGTAGAACGGGGACAACAACCTTCTAGGCGGTTGGAGAAAAAAACAACACAAAACTATGGTAAGATGTATGATACACTCCAAACAGAAATGAATTTCGGTTGACATTTGGGCGTCTGTGCCCACTGAGCCCTTTAAGAATAGCCAAGGAAGGGAGAAGCAAAGGGAGAAGCAGAGGAGGAGCTTGGTATGGTACAGCTCACCACGGGCACTTGGGTTCCCCAATCCCCATGACCTTATGATGACATGAGCAGGGGTACTTCAGGCGTCCAGTGAGCATTTTCCAAAGTGGAAAACCCACCTCTCAAGGGGCTCCTTGGTTAAAACAGCCTTCACACCCTACCTTCTTGGAGAGTCAGGGTCCAGACAAGTGTGGTCACAGCTCTGAGAATTCCTGTTTGACTTTGTTAAATTCAACCTTTCTCAGGCTTTTCTTTACCCAGCACTCTGTCTTCTCAGAACATCTGAGAATAGACTGGCCATTCGTCCCTGTCTGCCCAGGACAATTTCAGTATGTATCCATCATATCCATCATGATTAATAACCCCTTCTTTATTCTCACAAATGTCCCATTTCGATGATAAGTCGTATGGTCTCCCCACCCATTAACCTCCGATAGAACTGATGTGCTGCAGGGTATTTTAGAAAATACCGATCAACACAAATTTAGATAGGGCTTTTTGCCCCACATCCCACTTTTCCATGAAGTCATCCCAAGTATTTCTGTTCTCCTCCTGTGAACAAATAAGCACTTTGTCCACCCCAGTTGGCAGTTATTCAAGTGACGTTGTAGTGTTACCTAACTCTTGTACTCTTAACTTTATTTTTCCTTGATTTGCCACCTCCTCTAATTTCAATATTCCAAGGAGCAAGGGTGTTTAACTTAATTCTCTGTCTCTGCATTCTTCCTCCAGTACCCTTCTTGCTCCATCAATCACTGTGCCGTGTGGCAGTTGATACCTGAAAAATACTTGGCTAGCGCTGTGAGGAAATGGGATTGGCTCAAACATCCTCAGGGCAGTTTGGCAGTATCTGAAGTGAGGAAAAGATCAGAGTGACAGACTAAAACAGAGACAGAGAGACAAAGACAGAAAGAGGGGAAGAAAGAAAAGACATACACACACTCGTGCACATAAATGCCCATCTCAGCAATTGAAAAAAAAGCACAGTAGAACATTTAAGTAACCTAAATGTCCCGGATCTTAGTTCCCTGACCAGGGATGGAATCCAGGCCACGGCAGCGAAATCACGGAGTCCTAACCACTCGAATTCCCAGAGAATGGACTAAATTGATTAGAATATTTCCACACAATGGAATAGACAGGACAGCTTACAATATTGAGCAAATCTATATCAGTTGATATGGAAAGATGTCCATAATCAATTCAATGAAAAAAAGTTAAAAAAATAGTAGATGTCGAGACTTCTCTGGTGGCTCAGTGGTTAAGAATACACCTGTCAATGCAGGGGACATGGGTTCGAGCCCTGGTCTGGGAAGATCCCACATGCCAAGGAGCAGCCAAGCCCGTGAGCCACAACTACTGAGCCTGCACTCTAGAGCCCGCATGCCACAACTCCTGAAGCTCGAGCACCTAGAGCCTGTGCTCCGCAACAAGAGAAGCCACCGCAATAAGAAGCCTGCACAGCGCAACGAAGACTAGCCTCCTCTCTCTGCAACTAGAGAAAACCTGTGTGCGGCAACGAAGATCCAAAAAAAGCAGCCAAAAATAAATAAATTTAAAAAAATAGTAGATGTCTTTTAAATTTAACCAAATATGCAGTATACTAACAGTGCTTATTTCGTGGATATGAGAGGTAGGTGATTTTCACCTTCTTTATGCTTATTTGAATTGTGTGATTTTTATTTATTTTATTTAAGTGAGCATGTATTTACTTTTATCCTCAGAAATAAGAAACTTTATTTTGAAAAAAAAAAAAAAACTTAGGTTGGTTGTTGCCTAGCGGGCCACCCTTCGAGGTGCCTGCCTACGTGTCTATCCAAGGGCTCCTGGAGGAATATACCGAATGAAAATCACAAGAGGTGATCTTGAACTGTTTTCCAGTTCTAACATTTCAAATGGCAAATATATTTTCTCTCTGGTATTTGCTTATCACTGAGGTGATAAGTGGTTTTCCCATCATCGTAACAGAAACATATAAAATGTTTTCCCACCACTCTCCCCATGTATATTTGCAATCTGCATTGTTCTTTTCAATGAGTGCTTAAGATTCCATTAACCTGTCATGTTTAATATTCAGCCCATTTTCGGAGTTCTCTTCCTAGAAGAAAGCAATCATCAGAAACATTTTATTTCTATGTTTGCTTTGTGACAACTGACACTTTTTAATCTCCCATTCTAGACTGTGACAAAGTGTTTTTGGTTGAGGTTTGTTTTGTAGTTATTAATTTTCTTCCAGTCAAACGGTGACATAGTTTTTTAATAGGGTAGACATTTTACCTTAATACTTTATCTTAAATATCTCTATATCCTACAAATGAGTTTGGCACAGAATAACTTAATAAATATTATGTGAGTGAAAGAATGTATGACGGCGGACAGTCACTATTGTAGATAATGCTGTCATAAATACCTATGTTAAAATAGGTTTTTTCTTCTACTATGTTTTGAGCTTGCTTTCAGGCTTTGGCACTGTCAGTAAATACATTTTGAGTGAACACTTGCTGTCAAGGCCCAAGAGCCAGCTAGATTGCACTAGGTCCAAGGACACAGCCTCACATGAGACAGAACAGCCCTTTGCACTTGTGGACCTGACATCTAGAAGCAGGATTACTGCTCTCACAAGCATTCGTTTTCACACAAACGATTTCTTTTTTTATTTTTCTATTTGGGGGGATGGAGGAGGTGTCTCAACTTCTTTTCTTAGATATCCTTAAACATCCATTCCATATTAACCCCCAAATTTAGCACTCTGGGGTTACCACTGCCTTAAACTTTAAGTCCTCATTCCTTAGGGTAATAAACTGAGAAGTCCCAAAGTAGAGAACAAAAGAAAAAGAATTAAGCTATAACCATGTACCCAAACCCTAAGTGCTGGTGGTCTGGGAATCTCACCTAGAATGTAGAGGAGCCACTCCTTCCCTTCGAACGTAGACAGCAGCCTCTCCCACTGGGCTTGCCAGAAGTAGCCAGAAGCACCCCAAAATCTCTGAAGATGCCTTGAAAGAAAACTCATTCATGTTTCTGGGTGAAGACTGGTGGGTGGACAGCTCCTACATCCATGCTCTGCCCATAGACCGCCACCGCACGGCCCCCAGCTCCCGAATTAGAGCTGGCCGAGAAGACTCACCATGTGACTGAGTTCCAGAGGGCCACAAGCAAGAGAAGGCCAGAGCCCAGGATGAAAGCCGTCCTCCTCATGGAGCCCCAGATGTGTCCCTCCTAGGGGAGGACAAGAAAGCGTCAGGTCCCAGCAAGCCTCCTGCCTTCACACGCAGCTCACTGCTGAAGCCCGGCAGGAGCGAGGTGGCATCAGGATCTCGATCGTGCCACCATGGCACATCTGCTGACCTTTTCCCAACTTCCGTGGGAAGGCTCTTCCTTATCAAGAGCTCTCAGGCTGTGTGCGGAGGTGAGTATGAAAGTTAGAGCTTAAGGCTGGGGGAGGGAAGAGAGCAAACCTGATCCAGAGAATCTAGCATGCAATTGCGTCACCCAGAGAAGGACAGGTGAGCCTTCCGAGAGCCATGGGATTTCATGACCAGTCTTCTTGTTGAACAGAGATGCAGATTATTTGTACATTGGAATCACCTGGGAGCTTTCAAAAACTCCCAGTATCCGGCTTACTCCCCAGCCCGATTACATAAGAGTCTCTGCCGGGGCAGGGGAGGTGGGGCTGGGCCTCCCTGTCTTTTAAAGGTCCCCAGCTAATTCTAATGGACAGGCGGAGCTGGGACGGCCATCACAGAAGAATCTGCAGAATCCTTGATGAGGCCACAGGGACTTCAACTGTGTTCCTGAGCCAGGCCTATTTTCCCGTGCCCATCACCCTTTTGCCCTTGAAGAAAAGAGTAAATAAACATATTTTCTGACTTGCAATATGTCCTCTGCCTTCCAGAGATATTAGTCTGGGCTGCCAGCTGAACGGGACAATGATGGCTTCTAGGGGCAAAGAACAGACCGCTGGCCATCACTGGGCGGTCCTTACATGTTCTCCTCCAAAAGCCTAAAACAGTGGTCATTGCGAGCTCGATGGTCAACCAGCAGGTCCCAGACTTGTGGAAGGAAAACCCTGGCTGCCAGGTGTGTCACCAATTTCTATAGTACCTTGGGCAGGAATGACAAATGTCCATCACAGCCCATGTTTCTACGCCCAGATGCAGTCTGCTAATATTCTTTCGTGGGAGAGGACTGGAGGTGGTGGTCCCTATACGTGTGTGCAGTTAGTGAACCAGGTCACATACACTGTTGTAGGGGAAGCTGATCTAATAGGGGGCCAGGTTTTAATCCAGCCTTTGGAGATCTAAAGGAGCAGACCGTTTTGACTGACTCATTCAGAGCAACCTGACTCTGCACTGACTCTTTTCTTCTCTGATTACCCTATCCCACTCTTGATCAGAAGTTAGTAAGTCGTTTTCCATGGCTAGTGAAATGTTTTTAAAGGTCTACTCGGGTCCTGAGATTTGAAAAATGACCTTCTCTCTCTCTGAGCTCTGAAAATGACCTTCTGTTTCCCTCTCTCTCTCTCTGTCTCCCCCCGTTAAGGGCTGGATCGCCAAGACCACAGAAACTTGTTCTTTTATACAGACTGTTCAAAGGTCACCCCCAAATTTGCCAGACAGTTCATCTTGGGCTTTTGCAATTAGTCCTTTTTTGGGATTCAAAGGACCCTTTTCCTGAGCTTTCCAGATCCACTAGGAATTTTTCATTTGAGTTTAATCAAATCAAGCCAAGTCAAATTTAAAACCTCGATTTCACATGTAAGATTAGATGTGTTTTCAGGGATCGTGGTGTTTTCTCTCTCTAGCAGCGTGAGGGCCAGGTAAAGTGACAGGACAAAGGTCTCTGGGAAGGGCAGGAGCATGCAGCACAGAAGTTATCTGGGCTCAACAGCTGGTTCCCACCCCCCAGTTCCCAGCCCCCAGTGGGCCTCTCTTGTCCCCAGAGCAGCTGTAGAAAGGGGTGGTTCCAAAGGCCTGAGCCTGGGACATTCTAAGGGCCAAGAGACCTTGGTGGGACAGCTACGGGGCTCTTCAGCTACCTTCATGCAGGCAAAGGGGCTTGAGTTATAATCAGGCAGCTGGAGTCAAGTGATTCTGCTCAGCTACTGAAGCGAGCACTTCACTGATGTGTCAGCTATATCCCGAAACCTTGGGGGGGTGTTGTCAGTTGTGCTGCAGGCGCAGATGTGGAAAGGGTCACTGGCTGCGTTCTCACCAGTTTGGTGGGTGAGGTGCTCGCGTTTACCTGCTTTTGCTTCCCATTGTGTGGCACACTTCCAGCTTCTCCCTTCATCTGGAATGAAAAAGCACAGGTGAGCCTGGGTGTCATTTTCACATGCAACCAAGGAAGTAAGGAATAGAGAGAGTCAAGGTGAATGGCCAGCAGTGGTTTTTAATGCCGGCAACTCATTAAAATCACCTGGGAGTTACAAAAAAAAAAAACCACCACCAAAAAAAACCCTGGCGGACAAACTGATTCTAAAATTTACATGGAGAAACAAATAAGCAAGAATAGCCAGGAATACAGCAGAAGAGTAGAAGAGGGACGGGCACGAGGGATACTAGGTCTAGCAAGTCTTAAAACACGTTATAAGGCTTTTTAAAAGACTTAATTATGCTCTTCTCACTTCTTCAAGGTAGTAAAGAGTTGTTCCCGTGAGATAAAAGAATATCAGTGGACTCTTAACCAGGACTTAAAGAGTAGCTCTAACTTGAGTTGGTTCAATTGTGTATTCTTTGTTATTATTTGTCAGTTTAAAAACAACAACCAAGGTTTTTCTGAAACCAGTCAACAATTCTATGGCCAAGTAGATGGATAGGAATGCGGTGCATAAAACTCCTTCTAAAATGCTGTCAAACAAGAACTGGTTAGAAGGAGAATAATTAGAAACGTGTTTGAGATCTCCATTTGACAGTATGACAGGGTAAATCTTTTTGGAAGTCTTAATAAAACCAATATCTAATAAGATAAGAGAAATTAAGGCTTGATCATTTTTATTTTCTAATGTGATGTTGCAGAATTTTCCTGGTTATATAAAGATAATGATCAAATGAAAAATAAAAGTTATTTTAAGGAATCCAAATAGTAGTTATTAGACAACTGAATAAAAACTCTGATGTCAAAAGGTGGTGAACACAGATTAAAAACCAATTGCATCTCTACTTAGCAAAATGAAACAAAAAGGATAAAAAATGGCATTGTCCATAATATATGCTGAATGAGATATTTTTGGCCACGTAAACATATTTTTTAAACATCTTCATTGGAGTATAATTGCTTTAGATTATCGTGTTAGTTGCT